GAATCATTGTGTTTTTGATACCTTAGAATTACAGCCGTCGTGGGTCATCTTTCATGTTAAACCGCCATGTTTCTACAGTAGCCTAGGAGGGGACAAACCAACACTGGTTGTAGATAGGGGCATTCGCATTTTTTGTGCATTTCGCAGCCACAGTAGTTTTTCCTACGAGCTTGGAAGGGGAGGGTGAAACGAGTGAATTTCGATCTGCAACAGCACTGCTAAATGCTACTAAATCCTACAAACTGCACCTTTGAGTTATGTTATTTTATGTTTCATATGTATATGAGTACATTTGTGTGTACTAACATGCTTATTTTAACCCAAACATGATCTTTTCCAAAACCTAACTATGTACCTTTGTTGCCTAAACCTAACCAAACTGTGGCAGTTTCACAACTTTACTTAAGTTCCGGTACATCCGTCACTGGCACTCCCCACTGGTCCTTTTTGTCGTTTTGGGAGTTCTTGGCAATTGACCTATTTTGTTACACCATTCATTATTTGCAAATGGTAATAGAGGGCCCAATTCTTCTGCAGGGGCAGGGTTTATGTTTCTGATCACCGAGTCTAACACCTTGTCTACACAGGTCACATAGTTAGGTTAAATCATGAATAAATAAACATTGAAGTGTGATTTACAGCCGCAGATAAACATGTGAAGCATGAGCAGTTAAGCGGCTGGTGTAGCCAGCTGTAGAAACAGCTGCAGCCCCCTATCAGTGTCAACACTAGATCTGTTCAGCCCCAGCGCTGTACACTCAGATTGTATTGCACTGCATTTTAAGGAGCTATATAGTGAATTTCTCTGTGAAATCTTAAAACAAAAACTATGATTTATGTTTTATAAGCCATAATGGCAGAAAAAGTTGCTCAGAGCAAGTCCCTGAGTTGCATCAGAAGATGGTGGTATCCCTGCAGCACACTTTGCAGTTGCAGGTGGTAGTCAGCCTGGGCAGCTGTCATATACTCGTCCTGACATCTTTTTTATTTTTTTCTAGTTTAGGTTTCACAGTTTTTTCCCCACATTTTTCCAATAAATTCTGTTTATGCAGGCGGCAAAAAGTTCCAGCCTGTCAGGACCTTGAGTCCACTGTTCTCCTAAAAGAAAAAGGACGTTGCTGGCTGTCGTGCCAAGGTGTGTTTTGTGCAGGTGAAAAGAAACTCTCCTCGTCATTTCTAGGTTTCTGTCTCTTAGTTGATCTCTTATTTTGCCTCTCTCCTCGCTGTAGTAGAACACTGTAAACAAAACCTGGCAAGCTGATCCTTGCACATCCTTAGTTTTTGTTGTATCAGTGTTTTTGTCAATATTAGATGAACTACTAGTTTTGGTCCTGCATAACTTTACAACAAAGTAAAGTGAAATGACACAGCATTAAATATTGATTGCTGTTCTTTCTCCTAACCCCACCTAAAAAGCTCAGAGTTATAAAACTGGATGCAGGAAGTATAGGTGCTGAGGGGGCTGCAGCACCCCCTAAAAATGATAAAAGTATAATGACTTTCTCCTTTATTAAATTTACACGTGGAATACACTGGTATTTGTGGAAGGAAAGAGATTTTACCTTGTTTTCAGTCCAGCCTGCTACAGTTAAGGAATTACTGCTGCTGTACAGTGAGACCTACAGACCATTTGTACAATGGATGTGTGGTTTGGTTACTTTTCGACAGCAACCTTTCCTTTGAACACCACGTCAACCAAATCATCAGAACTGTCTTGCCTATGCCCCTCACTATCCTCTGCTGCTGAGACTGACTCTCATCTACGCATCCATTTTGTATGGTACATCCTCTAAAGTCCTCACCAAAAATGTGTTCAGCGTATTTGATGATTTCATACTTGCATGATTTGTGCAATTTTTGGTTTGTATCCACATGCTGAATGCTTTTATTGTAATTTACTTTGGATAAAAGCAGAAATGTAATGTAATAAATATTATTTACTTTGTCAAATGTGCATGTGACATGGATGACAAAAGATATGGCTGAAACGTATCATCTGATAGGACAGATACAATTAGTTTTTATGAACAACGCTGTCAGCATAATGGATTATGTTTCACAGTACCCATGAAAATGCAACTCATTGCGTTTTGGGGCTCTTTCATGAGTACACAGCCGATACAGTGTACACACTGACAGAGGACTCATGAGCTTTGCTAAATATTCAGTCCCTAGGTTTAAGAGTGTGTGTGTGTGTGTAGGTGTGCGTGTGTGTGTAGGTGTGCGTGCGTGTGTGT